ATTCTCATTGAATACTATTTTAATGAAGATGTACGTTTTTTATTATTGTAATTGGTCATTTATCGAGGACTTGAGGTTGCGACTTCTGTCTCAGAATCTCCACTTCTTTATAACTGACCCAACTTATTGCTCTTTATTTCATATTAGTATCTTTAATATGAGCAAATTATCTCAAATTTATCAGCTATTTTCAAAATTTTTCCTTTAGATTATATTCTTTAGGTGGCGACTAAATTGCTGCGTCCCATAGTTCACAGCTTATTCCGCAACCACAACTTGCTCCCCTCTTATTATTTAAGCTATTTGCTTTGTAAGAAAGTAGCATAGGAGGAAAAGTGCATAATATTTTTTTTAATATTCAGAAATATTGCATCTTCCCTTTCCAAATGCCCAAACAGATGGAAATTTGGCGAACTCCCGAGCTATGCTACATTCCCTGAATGGTTCAGGCCGAACCGCTGACAGTCGAACCGAGGAAAATTTGGTAAATGATGCCGCTAGTAATGACCTATTGACACAAGCGCAAGTGATTCTGCACCATAAACGTAATCGTGTACTTCCATCAGATCTGGAGCCTGCTTCGGCTCGTTTCACCTGGTCTAACGACGACGAAACAAGGGAGTTGTTGAAGCAACCAGGAGTTATTGCAGGTAGTTTTTCAATATTTTTATGACGAATAATAACAAATCTAACACTAGCACCCGCATGTATGCTCTATAGATTCTTAAAATCATCGCTTTTTCATCTCCGTCTTACCAAAACCGTCACGTGTCTTTCTATCTCCATATTTGTTTTCTGAGTCGGTGGAAGCCATAGAAATATCTATTAGTTAAATTTCTTACTCCATATTCGCCAACAAACGAGAAATAGAATATCCAAATCTTTTTCCCTGGGAGTTCAACTCATGTTTACATCGTCTCTACTACCGTCTGCGAAACCTTGTTTTAATATATGCTGACATCCTTTGCTGCACAAGATCTATTTTAGTTTTTGATTCCTTTAAGTAGATTTTTAAAATATATCATAGATTAAACGTCAATACGATGGCCAAGATGTGATGGCCTCTATTTTGGTCACAGTCTCATTTCGATTCATGGTAGTCATCTGACCTTGTTTTCACAACTTGGTCATATTAGCAGGAAGACCTATAGGAACGCACTTTATCCGGAGTCCATAGTATGCATGATAATTTCTAGATTTGGACCATGGACTTGGTACATTCCCCGACGTTTCGCCGGCATCGTCGGTGAAGCTTGCCATTCTCAGAACCAAACCACAACTCGTCAAAAAGACAAGTAAAGTCAATCCTTTCACCGACTTTCTGCAAAAACGGTTGGGCTACTACTCTTCGTTCTGTCCTGGCCTCTGTCCATTTCCTACCCTCTTGTCTCACCCTCTTCCTTCCACAAGAAGTGTGTCTTTTTTGCGAATTTACCGTGGCATCATCACACTTGCCAATACCTCCCTCTCGACTGGCTGATCCGATTTGAGCATTTTGTCTGGATCTGTCTCATGGGCCCATATGCCCATTTCTTATCTTTTTGCTTGAGCGATTTCATTCGGTTCCAGCCCCAGTGCACTTTTTGCTTCAGGCACAATTTCTCAAGCCGTGAGTAGCACGAACAGTCGCTTCATCTGCAAAGCGCCTAGACTCTGATTCCCATGCTTACGGATATTAGACAGGACAGAATCAGGAGTGATAGCACACCGGTTTCGGTAGACAGTTGGTTTAGGGATTGACTTCACTTGTCTCTTTGACGAATTGTGGTTTGGTGCTGAGAATGGCAAGATTCATTAACTATGCCAGCGAAACGTCTGGAAATGTACCAAATCTACAGTCTGACTCTGTAAATTATTATGCATACTATGGACTCCGGACACGGTGCGTTCCTCTAGGTCTTCCTGCCAATATGACCAAATTGCAAAGGCAGGGATAGATGATTAATGTATCATATATTATTTAAAGAAGTATTGCAGGTTGAATTTTAACTTCCTTTTGCGAGATCTCCTTTTATTTCGTCTGCATTCTCTTTGTTTTATTGTCATGCAGATTTGGACACACCTGATTGTTATACAATTCGCTTTATAAAATCAATGATAATGGATATTATATACAATATGGATACAAAGTACTTCATCTCCGTTAGACGAAGATGGCTAAACAGAATATACTGTAAGACTTGCGTACAACAAAGGGCTTTCTTGGATCTACGGGTTATTGTCGTCAGCGTTCTTTTGCCATTAATCGTGATAAAATAAAATAATGTGTGCAAATATACAGTAACAAATCCATTTCTCGAAATTGTTGTTTATTTATTATTTTAAAGTTTACTAAAAATTAATGTCCTCAATTGTGGAGAAGGGTCTAGTCACATATTGGACCAAGTCCCTAAGCATTTTAGGCAAACTTAAATACTCATTTTATTAGTTAACTTGCATTCTAAAAAGTACTTTAAGGAAAAAATAAAGAAAATTGCATATCTTGGTTGCTCTTTATATTTAGTATGTAAAAACTAAAGTTTAAATCATATTTCTTAAGATCC